GTAACCAGACTCGGTTAAAAACACATTACGAAAGGAGGCGTTACAGTAATGAAAAAAATCTTTTTTATTATATGTAGTGTTACAATACGCTATTTTTGTAATTTAAACCTCCCATTTAAACCTAAATAAAGGAATTCTGAGGTAACTGGTTCTGAGGTAAAATTCAACCAAATTGAGGACCTGTTCCTTGTGCTAGTTCAATAAAGGTGATGTATTACTTATTTAAGGGCGGTAACACTTACTATTACATGAGGCTATATGCTGTGGTGAAGTATATGAGAGAGAAAAAAATCGTTTTATGGTATCTTATTTTCACTAAATATTAGTTTTGCTCTAATCTATACATGAAAAAATGACTTAGCTGACCGACTGATTCATCAACTTAGAGTCTAGACCGCTGGGGCTAGAAACTTGAAATTTTTGCAGCTGGTTTTTAGAAATTAACTATGGGGTAAACATGTTAAAAATAAGAAATTGACATGCGTCGCTCGTATGTCAGTTTCTTGCCAGGGGCAATATCAAGTTTTAAAATATAATGCTTTTTCTCGAAATTAAACTTTGTAGGTATTTGTAGCTCGATCTTCTCGAACCAGGATCTTGATAATATATTTATTTCCCGTAGCTACACGTAAACTGCTAAGTGCAAATAGTTTGACGAGTTTGTTTTACTGCAAATCCCATGCTTTTTCTCGAAAGCCCCAGTACGTCATTGTAAGTCCCAGTACATCGCATGTTTTTGTTTCTTTTTATCTATAATTTAATAATAACGTTTATCTTTAGACCTAAAATTGTTACTGCACACTCCCTGACACTCACACGGATAACTCGCAAAACCTTGCAGTTTTCTACATTTCTTCTGAATCTCAACTGTCATTTGTACGAGTATCCTAGCGATAAACTTTAATAAGTGTAAAGTCTATTAAATTGAAACATTGCCATAGATATGAAACATTACACAGATTATTGTAACTTATATACCAAACTCACTTTATCGCTGTGCTGACAGGTGAAAGTCGTTTGATCAAAACGATTGAAAGAAAAATTAAATTCAACTATCCAGAAAAAATATAATTGTATTAAAAGAGCCAAACGCCCCAAGAAAGTCGTGTAAAATAAAACCATTCCATCTAATCTATATCTCGGTGGCAAGTACCCGAGAAAAAAGGGGGGAGGGTCGAATATCCCGCAAGGGTGGTCGGCAATGGACTGAAGGAGCCCCAATCAATCTTACAAGTCGCAGTGCGATGCGGGGGCCGAGGGGGAGAAGGCACTTTTGGGAGGTCGAAGGGACGATACCCTCTTATGGACGGGCCCGACTGACCCTTCGGGAGGCTCCACACGAAAAAGGTCAAACATAAACTTTTTGTTAGTAGGATATTTTGTTCGTTCGGTCGCATCATAATATGGGCTTTATGTGGTTTAGCAATTAATGTTAAGTATATTACTTAGGTTTTTTTATTACATAAATGTACAAAGAATATAATTTCAGTCACAAATTCAACTTTAGCGTAAATTTAACCTTTTTATTGTCGTAACTATAGCGACAGATGCTTGTTCTATAAAAAACAAATTGTTTTAACAAACTATCTACTATATTAAAATATATAATTTTGTATAAACCATTTGTTTACTCAAATGTTTACATTACGTTATAATATATTCCGAAGTGAATAAAAAATATTTCGTACTAAACTCCGAGTTGCGTGTAACGTACGAGTAATTTAGGTCGGAAAAACCTATTATATGGGAGATATAGCAAATATAACCGTCATCAGAAAACTTACTTGCCCACTTCTCCGTCGGGCATCGTTTTTGTGTCTTGTCTAATACCGTGACGCCCCTTCAGGCTGATGAAACCTTCCACCCACCACCCTCGCCCGTTCGCCCCAAGCGAGAAAAATGAGTTAGAAAAGATGCGGCGCCCGATTATGGCGTGACGCCCTGTGGTCCTTTGTAAGGGACATTCGTCTGAATCAATCGGGTCGGCGAAGGATACGGCGACTTTACACGGTTATGTATCAGGTACGAACTAACGCCTATCTATTCTGAGATCCTGGTACTTCAACACAAAGTTACCAAAGTATCATTTCATTTTCTTATGTATTGTACTAACACAAAAGTAAGCAAGTCTATTTACTTATTTTAAAATTTCAGCACATAAATAAATAACAGTATAAGGTCGTTCGCATTAAGAATGCAGTGAGTCATCAGTGCAACTGCAGGGTAAAGGTGTGTTCACAATGGTGTTCAAATTAAAATAAAAAAAATCAAAATGTAAAGTTTTATAATATTTTAGTCACTTTATTGATATCTTCGTTGGTACTTACTGTAAAAGAATTTTCTTCTGCAAATTTCATGACGTCATCTAAATCCCACATGTTATTTAATTGACATAAAAACGAATAGAGCTTAAAAAGATGCTTACAAATAAATACACATTAACAATACCACAAATAGTTTATATATCTTACATATATCATCATTTGTTATGTTATGTTATGTTATGTTATGTTTACATATATCATCATTTGTTATGTCATGTTATGTTATGTATGTTTAGTCTTAGATATGAACCAGTTTCATCAACTAATGCAAACCTTCAGAACTATGTTGGCTCAGAAACTAGCCTGTCTTAGGAAGTACGTACGTGAGTACAATAGAAATATTAACAACTGATTCACGAGTCCCTCCAAATATTAGATAGAATTCAAAGTATCTTATACTTTATTTAAGAATACTTGTATTGAGCGACTCATCGTCTGTAATTTCGAGATGATTCGATTGAACTGCATCACAGCGTTAACACGTAGACTAACCAATAGTTTAGTCTAACAGAATAATCAGTTTATATTTGTATACCGAGTTCTATGAACGGAGGAATTTAGTTGCTTGTATTTTTTTTAAGTTTGTCAGCTAGGAACTGCGTCATTTGTGAGCAGGTTTGGAAAATTCTTTTTGATTTCGGAAGGTTATACTCCCAGTTTGGTGCCATTCAAATTTGAACCAAAAACACTACTACCAGGGGTAAACATTAAGGAATGAAGAATACAGTTTATTATAATTATTAAATATAGGTGCATTGAAGTCAATGATACTTTTAAAAACCTAATTTTAAAATGTAGTTTTTCGCTAAGTGAAAGCGATTGCTATCTTTTTGTGTCTTTATCTGTTTATTTATAAAAAAATCCAGACAAATGCGAGGCGAACTCGCCCACCCGGGGGTCGTGCAGTTTCACTTATAAAACACAATAATATAAGTATTATTGTGTTTTATAAGTGAAATTATACCTCGATGATTTATTACGTACTTTAAATAAAGACTACACTTTTTTATGATTTATTTATAAATGTATAGTTTTCAGATTTACCCTGTACTTACTTTTACTTACTGTACTACTGTACTGTACTTACGTTACTTGCCAAATAGCTCTAAGTCAACGGGAAGTACCCTACAAGTTTTGATTCCTTGAGAGTGTCTAAATATGCGATTTTGCTTCATAAACGGCCGTATCTTTTTTTTTACGTTAACTTATGAGTTTTATTTTTTCACAGCTTCAAGGGACTGTATGGTTTTAATTTCAACTCGATACCTCCTCCACACGTTCCCAAGATAAAGGATCTTGACAGACAGACGGATAACAAAGTTATCTTAAAAGGATTCCGTTTTTACTTTTTGAGGTACGGTACCCTAAAAAATGACTCATGTCGTCTCTATTGGATATTAAATTGTTTTAAAGCGACAGACAGACAATGGTGTTTATTTATTTGGACGTTAAATGGAGCAAACAATTTTCAAAAATGTCACATCATAATATGGTTTTAGATCAACAATCCTAACTAATACAAATATAAATGCTGATGTATGTACCTACATAATATGTTATTGAAAAACTTGTAAAGAGATCAAATTATAAATGGCTCTATCATTGACATCTTTCAAAGTGAGTAAATAGATTTATACTACAATATATTATGTAAAACTTATGTCGGCCCCTTCTATAGTGTCAAATATAAACGTACCACACACAACTCTGCATCGTCCTAAGGTTAAATGAAAGAAAATATATATGGCATTGAGTTAGCTTTATGCAATTTTCATAAAGTGTAAATTAAAGTAGCTACGTTCGTCAAAATAACTTGAATGTGATTTTTCATCGAAACCCTTAATCAAAATGACTGCGTTTAATAATAATTTGAACATTAACAACAAACGCGAGCCTCAGAGCCATAACAGGCTTGGGTATAAAGGGCCCGTACAAAGGCGCGTTTGGGGTCGATCCGACCGCCACAACTTTCCGCCAGTTTGTTGGCAAAAGTTTAAGCTGCTAGGGTTAAGCGGTCCGCTTCGCAAATCATATGTTTATTTTAGAACGTAAATTTGTTTGAACGCAAATGATTTCATCAGGTCGGTGTGGTTTCATACTTCAACTTAATACGGCATCTAAAAGTGTTTTGTACACCACTCCGCGAAAATATTTGACACACGAGCTTTGATATTGGGTAAAACGGTTTTTCTTTCTGTTGTCTGTTAGTAGGCATATTTTTAATTAATTACTTCTAGATTATATGTGGATGCTTTATATTTCTTACAGAATCGATACTACATTAATGAAGTACTCATCACTTATGTTCTCAAGGGTGGATCTACGAAGGTGTAGGTCATGGGTCATAAACCTGGGTTGGATTCAGGTTAATAATATTTATTATACTTAAGTTATTAATTAGAATATAAATAGTTTATATGATAATTCATAATACTATGTCAATATTGTAAGTATGCAATACACCAGAGCATTCGTACACTTTCAAGTACCATCTTCCTAACTAAACTGGAGAATGTCATAAGTCCTCACTTAACACATGACCTGAATTAGAAGCAACATTCAACCCTAAAAACCCCTGTTTTATTTAAAAACCCTATTAAATTTATGTTAAGTGTTACATTTACCTAGTCTCTGGGGAATCTAGTGTTTTATTTTTATTTTAGTAAGCATTTATAATTACAAACTCACCTTATTATCTGTATCCATGCGTTCCTGGTACGCCATACTTCTCATATGCTTCAAATACGCCGTTGTAATGGGAACGCTGTAATCTACCTCCTCTCCTCCATAAAATAGTCCTCCGTCTGGCCTCCACGGCTTAGGGACCCTCCCAAATGTGTTTGAACACTCCAAACTAGTAGGAAGCAACTTTTTCCTCGGAGGCGATCTTGATTTTGGTGGATCTTTTGATGTTAAGTTTGCCACATCGAGAGGATTGAACTTTTTCTTAACTTCACTCTTTTCTTTATTACCACCGTTATCTGTTGCCTTAGTACTTTCTGTTTCACATTTTGATTCTTCATCCTGTTGTAATATAATGGGAGGTTCAGGGTTTACGTCTTCTACATCTATGAGACTGTTTTCATCTTTGTCTATCTCGGGATCAGTTCTAACTGGTTCCTCCTCCCTGAACGGTGGCTCAGTTGAGGAACTTCTGCCTAAGAGAGGTGTTCCTTCAAATCCGTTAATTTTTTTTGACGTAAGTTCAATATACGTAGGTTCCTCTTCAATATCAGTAGGCTTTGGGCTTTCAACTTTTTTAAGAGGCTGAAGATCTGTATAATCAAACTTCGGTTCGTAATAGTTCGAGTGTGCTGCATCTATTTCTGATTCCCAGTTTCGTGTGTAATCAGGCACGTTGTGGGGTATAAAGGGGAGGAAAGTGGGGTGCCTCGTTGGTGATGGGGAGGGAGTAGGCAGGGGTGGAGGGGAAGCACTGCGCGGGCGCCGCGCACACTCCGCACATCCGGTGAGGAAGCGCGTGACTGCCTCCCGCGGCAGGAACGCGTACGTCTCCGTGATCTGTTGGCGAAAACATCCGTGATTAAGAGAGCGTATTTCTTTTGTTGTGTTTGTAAAGTTGTGCTTAGATAATGACTTCGAATTGGACTTAAAGCCAGAAAATGAAATTGTAACATGTTACTATTTGTCTATCTAATATTTAGATAGTAAACCTTTTAAAGAAGGTTTTTTAATGTTAAATATATTGGACCTTTTAGTAGGAGTTTTATTCATCACAAAAAGTGTTACATATACCTATGCTGACTTCAATTACGTGTCTTAACAAGCACCAAAGAACTAATAAAGTACAGTACAGTTTTATAGTTTTACTACCTCTTGCCCGCAGCTCCGTCCGCGTAAATGTCGGTTATAAAAAGTTGCCTATGTCTTTCCTCAAGAATTAAAGTATCTCCATACCAAATTATATTTAAATCGGTTCTGCGGTTATTGATTCCCCATACAAACTTCTACCCCCTTTTCACCCCCTTAAAGTATGATTTCTGGAATAAAACCTGCCCTATGTCCTTTCCCGTTACTCGGACTATCTGCCAAATCTCATCAAAATCGGTTTAGCGGTTTAAGCGTGAAGAAGTAACAGACAGACACATTCGCATTTATAATATTAGTATGGAAGTATGAATATTAGTTTAATTTAATTAAAAAATAATAATAGTATGTATTTGTTTTTATAATTAGAATAAAATTCACTTTAGTGAATATGACGCTTTCTTGACACTTTTTGTTATAATTATAATGGCATCATTTCGCTGTTTGAGAAGTAGGTAGATAGTTGACTGTATCAATTTGAAAACTCATCAGGTTTTTAAATCTTAAGGTAAAGTCTCGGCTACAGTAGATTCAACAAAGTTGGTATGTGGGTAAAAACCCCACTACAACAAGCAGTGCATAATTTTATGAGAACCTTTGCTATTTAGTGTGAAGTAATGATGTAAATTATTGCTACTTTCAAATCATAACCATAAGATCACCTAGTCACACATTTCAGCACCACTCTAAGGTAGACTTGGAGATATGCTATGATATATATAAGATATTGATATAATGCCTGTGGTATAAAGTCCGCCATTGTACAACCCATACTTGTGCATAGAGTATTAAAATAAATAAAAATGAAATGATTGGTTTTAGTCACTGTCAAAGAATAAATCAAACTTTTATCAGACTACGACCTTTTTAGATTTGGATCTTTCGTGAGTCGAGTAGCGTAATCATAATCGTAAGTGGTTTTGTAAATTGGACACAAGTATGATTATATGATTGATAAATCCTATGATTTATAACAGGTAATTTTATTCCATCCCTAGTGTAAAATATTTCATGGGTTAAGAATCTAAAATTCATAAGTAGCGCCATCTATCAGCGCAGGGGTACACGTTTGTTATTGAAAACGAATCGTGTTCGGGTAGTCGTTTGACAAGCAGCCGTTTTTAAAACTTACCACTGGATGACGCTAAACAAAGTTTTCAAAATTTACCACTAGATGACGCTAAACAAAGTTTTCAAAAATATATTCAACGTTTGGCGCCCATTGTAAATATTATATTATTATCCTTTTTTAATTATAAATTTTTCATGTTCGTGATTTATGTAGTAAACATACCAAAACAAATAAAAAACGTTATTACTAAAAATACTTACTGTTCTATAAGTACGCTTTTGTCCAGCATGTTTACCCGGCCTTCCTTCTAATTCCACATGAACAGTGTAAATAATATCGAAGAAATTTTCAACAACAGCCACTTTTCTGTAGACTGGCTCTTGGTTAGGCGCATTCTGTAACAAAAAGAAACTCCATTGAAAATGAAAACATGCAAATAATTAGTTTGTGAAAAAACGCCATCTCTGGGCAAGAGTTAAAAGTATAAAGCATTTTAGTTCAGCTATGTATCACTAGGTGTCTATACCAAGAATACTAAAACCTTGAACGTGACCCTCATGTATAGTTATTAGGAGCAACAATCTTCAGTGCGCTATATTTTAGTGCAGAATCAGCAATCCGATTCAAATCATCAGTTTTTTTCTTACTTAAAATTATTTTACAGCAGCAGTAACGACTAAAATTAAAGTAATAACCGTAAATAATATGTTATCAGGACGGGTCTTTTAAATTCAAAACCAAACGACAACACGGCAGGGATGAGCAAAGTGAATCATGTAATTTATGTCATAAATTACCCGCGGTAGGCAATTAGGCTCGAGATCGCGGCCCGACCGTAATTAGGCCGTCCCGGGAGCACGGGACCGCTGTAATTAGCCGGACGTCAGTCCCGGGACCGCGGTAATTATGGAATCTGTTGCGAAGCGCCGCACTATGCATTTACGGATTTCAAAGTATGCAAATGATGTGCATTGCCGTGACATGCAGCTTACGGTTCTCACAAACGATAACACTTAAATACCTACTAGTAATTTCAAAATATTGAAATACTTCTACATAATTGAAGGACAGTCGGAGGATTCTTTGTTCTTTTAATTTCTGGGTCATTGTAACGTTTTAAAATGTTTATTAATGACTTCAATGAAACTGGATATATTCTTCAATTCTTGGCATTAAGTTATCGTGTATTTTATAATTACCGTGTATTTTAAAATTTCAACTTGATATTAGTTAGTTTTCAAGTCGGAGATATTTCAAATTTTTTAATTTACTCCTATACATTGGCTATAGATTTAAGTTGGTATACATGTCTATTGTAATTTGTAATAGTGTAGGTGATTCTTACATAAACACTATTGATAAGATAAAGAGGTTAGGGGCTATACCTAGCATAAGTTTAGCGATTTACTTTTGTGTGGAGTGTTTTTAATTGTCTCTATGCATGTCACTTTAGCAAACGTCAAATTATCTGTACTTTAGTCAGTAACAAATTAGCGAAAATATATAAAACAATTTATTTCTAAATTTAAAAGAAAAACTACAAATCTTGGGCATTTTGTAGTTTAGATGAAAGAATCTTTAAATAAAACACTTCAGTGTCAGTTTGGGCATAGCTATGTAAGTTTGGTTTGCGAATTTTCACTTAAGAGTTATTTTTAATTGTAACTAATTAACTCACCCGAAAACAGAAAAAAATCTAATAACTAGTGTAGAAATTAGTCGAATTAGTGAGTTTTAGTTATAAACGAATCATTAAATTGAGGGTTGAGGATACTGATTCGGGCTTAGAGATATTCGGCAAATGATTATTATACCGTTTTATATTATATTGTTCAAAGCACAACTAAGCCGCCTTATCGTAAGTGGTGATCAGTTAACACTCACAATATCAGGTATATCACAAAGAACTTAAAAGGAATACCTAAATATTCCACAAAATATATACAACTCGGCATAAAGTATGTCGTTAAACACGTGCAGTTTATACCACAGCTAAAATTTTACGCTCGAAATTCAAAAACCCTTTGTCCACAGTTTTTGTTTACCGAAAAGGTCGTTTCGAATTTATTTTGCTCGAACAAAAAAAATATAAGTTTCAGACGGGTGGCGACGAAACAGCGGTATCATCAGAGATCCTTATCCCCGCGGCCTGAAAGTGGCCCGGGGCAGGACTAATGGCCCCGGCAATTACATGGGCGAAGCGCGCCATCCGCGCACACTAGTGCTGACAAATATTTTTACTTTTTACACTCGAGTAACGACTTACATTTCATATTAAATTTTGGAAATTTGATTGTAAGGATAAACTATTTACTTTACAAAGTTAGATTACTATTGCAGGACCAACTATTTAACTAAGTAGAAGTACCCAGCAAAAAAGAAACTCGGTATCCTAGGTAATTGCAGACTTTCCTATCCTAGACAATTACAGATTTGGTTTAAATTCTAAATATTCTACGGCCTCTGTTTGTCATTTTAATGGACAAATATAATAGATATGATATAATCGTTATGGCCTAAGACGTGGGTGTTTTATATTAGTTTGTATTTTATTGATTATAGCTACTTTTTGGTCCATATCAACCTCAAAGAAAATATGGTAAGATCAGATTTTTAGAAAAATAGACCCATGTTAATGATGACACAGCAAGAGGATTATCATAATCTACATATACATGTTAGACATTTCCATAAGCTGCTGTGGCAATTTTTCAAAAATAACAGTCATTACTTAACCAAAAATTACTAAAAAAATATAGAGTACCTTATTAAGGAAAGCAATTAACGACGACATCTTTCACTCTCTACTAATTAAAGAAAGGTAGCAATCCTTTAGAGCACCCAACATAAAATGTCTATAAGTATTTTGAAACACCACTCGGCGCTTCAAGTATTTCACAGTTCAATCTTAACAAGTCGAGTATTTCACATCCCTACTGTGTCAGGCGCGCCAATTAGCAGCGTGCCCGCCCGCGTCATCAGCGCGCCGAGACAATTCCCGCGCCAAATAAAAATAAATTGTACGAAATATCGGCGAACGCCTCGCGCCTGCTGCCACCCTGGTACTCTGTGTACCACCTCGACTTTATAATGCAACGAACGGCGCCTTTGATGAAATCGTGAGCTTCCTTCCTAAAATTTATTAAGTTTCGAGTAAAATCTTTGGGGTAACAAATTTCCACTTGCTTATTATATTATCCGCAGTCGAGAAGAAATAAAAACTAGTGTCCGTTTTTAATTATCTTATTATTTAATAGACGGTATTTATATAATAATGACAATAAATATGTCATCAACCAAAACAAAACAACCTATACTTTCAAGAGAACAAAATAGAGTAATTAAATTCTTGCCAGATGATGTCAAAGATTAAATAATGAGTAGTAAATCATTCAGACATAAACTTAAAATCAAAGAAGACTGCAAATGCGTTGGCAAGAACATCAATGCCGAACAGAATGGAAAGTGTTGAAGGAAGCCTACACATCGTAAAAGGTTAATAAAGACGAAGAATCGTAGTTTAAAGTGTTAATAAAAGAAATTTTTAATGCATTAACCAAGTTAGGACGAGTTGAATACAAAGTTAGAGCCAATGCCGAAATACTGTTAAACAAAAAAAAAGCATTCAAAATACATTCACTGCTAAACATTTAGGCTCAGCAGTGCAGCAGCAGCATACATTTTAATTTATACAATTCGTTAGCAAGTCGTTTACTGAAGTCAACATAAATTTTATCCCACACGATTTATTTTGTCTCCTCATTAAACTTATGTCAACAGGCTTAAATAACTTAGAGGTTTTCACGTTATTTTCGTATAAAACATTCTAAAAAAAATATCTTTTGTTATGAAGTCGATTAAGAGGAACAATAACGTGACATTTAGTGTTTTTATAAGTAATTGAAAAAAAGAGGAAGCTTTTAGATTAAGTTAGGTTTTTTCCCAAAGTAGTCCATGAAGTGAAGTGTATCCCTGAATCACTGGTTTACTAACAAATAGCTGTAAGTGTTGGTTAGCTCATCTATCAAGAAAGCCTACAGACTATATAACATTACACAGCAACCAATAGGAACCGAAACGAAACAATTAATTCCTTATCAAAGACGCAGACATTTAATTAGCAAATGGACATTTCAACTTTCAATGACAATAGTTTTATTTTTTCTACAAATTAAATGTCAAACACACGGGACGGACCAGAAGCTCGACGGCCCAAGGGTAGCCCATTTATGCCCATATTTTGATACCCTCCCTTAGGGAGCGTATCTAATTATCATGAATTGTCCCAACGGCCCCCATCGTCCACCAGTGACGGCAAACATTATTACTCCGATGACTTACTGATCTATAGTTGGACTGTGTAACGGCCCAAGTTGACGTGGATAGTTAGATCTGGGCTCGGAGGCAACCCAGCTCAGCCAAAATGTTTTACCGATTGACCGTTTAACCTACCGGGGGTCAAATAAAAACACATACATGAAATACAAATTCACAAATCTTTATGATCTATGCGAATCATTATTTTAAATTCGGTAATGTTTATTGACTTCACAATAAAAACAATTTTAATTATTCAACAAAATAAAGGCTAAATTACAATACACATATCACTCTTCTTTATTCTTTGAAAATGTCGGGTACAGTAACGAGTTCACTCGTTAAAGGGCTTTTAAATATTTTTTATAAGTACTTCAATATAATAATATTTGAAAGCGCCCAATTACTTAGTACTTACTATACGGTAGTACTAAGTAGTGTATTTAATAATTAATGAGTCGGTCGTACTTAGAACTTTCGTGTTTATGTTATACCTATCATTAATTTTATTTAATATTATGGCTCATGACCTATGATGAAGCACGTGTTGATGAAAAAAAGTATAAATAAATTAAACTCTCTACAAAACTCACAACACACTAGATGATTAAAAACCATAACCAACACCGCAAAAATATCAAATCGTTTCTACCATAAAATATTCCCTCTTTAAATCTGTTCTCCAAAAGTGAAAAGACCAAAATAAATAAAGTCTTAAAAGAAGTACGTGTTGAGATAAACATCGTACCCGGCTAACAGCAACAGGTGGAAATGTGAATTGCGAGCAATGTATCATTCGCTCACCTGAGAGTTCGATACTTGAAATGGCAACTTTCTTGCAAATGGTACCGGTACGATATTGGTAATTTATTCACTACGTTCTAAAGAACAATGGCGGGGCTCCATACGAAAAAATATTTATTTCAAATTGCATCGTCTTGTAGTGTAAAAAATAAAAAAAAATGGGCTATATTTTTATAATCTATGTGTAAAACAATTTTTATTTGGGAAATGCTATTAAAATCAGTTATCAGCATTTGATTTTTTTAGTTCCTCACTGCATTATTTTTTAACTGTTGTCTCTTTTTAAAAGAGTCCACAGATAAAAGAGTATTTTATAACATAGCTGCATAATGTTTCCTGTATTTTATAATTTTGTCTGTGGCTATCGACTTTTCAAATTAGTTTTTGTACTGTTGTACATAATTAAAACTGTGTGCGTGTGTGCCAATTAAATTCGTCGCCTGTCGCGTCTTTATATTTAAACACAGAGCAAATATGTCTATCAATAGTTGTCAAAAAACCTTTGCTTTTTCAGCTTGCAGTTGCCACTTTTTTTTTACTTCCTTATATTCCACTACAGAATTTTCAAATACGTAAATAATGCTTTTAATAATGCAGCACAAACTACATTCTTTATTGATTCAGTACTTAGAATTATAAAACTATTATCTGATTACCATATTACTATTAAGTGATTACCATATTATGACGCTTTATTGATCAGGATTTCCACTACTTGAAAAAAATGTCTGTAAAATGGTAGCACTAAACTGATTAAGGGAAATTAATATAATATTTTTCTTTCTTTTCCTGGGGTTTTACTGACTTAGAACGATAATTTAAAAAAATCGTAGATATTTACTAGAATTCGTTTCCTATGAATGACATTTTAAGACGCTCAAATTATACTCACTACAAATTCGCCATTGTTCTTTGAAAAATGGCAGACATGTGAATCGCCAATTGTTGGATTTCGGTTTGTAACTTCTCACTGAAATATTGAGACCTTATAATAATAATTATAATTGTTGTTTTTTTTAAGTGGGTTAATTTTAAAAGCAATGCGAACGACAAACTTAAAATAAACTGGCAGTAACATAACAATGTAATAAAATAATTATTTAAAGAAGGTATTTTAATTCATAATTAGGAATGTTCGAATAATTAATATTATACAGAACTACTTTTATGCACTTCGCCTAAATCTGTACATCAGGAGGTTTAGGTCACAGCAAAGTGAGCTTGTATTCTGTGAGATGCAGCAACGACGTGTGGGGCGTGAATAATTCATAATGCTGTTTTAACTTACAAGATAAAGTTTTCAAACCCTGTATTTGAATCATCAATGTTTTATTCAAAAGAAAAAAAATTACAATAGTGAATTACTGCTATTACGTAAGACAAAATTATAGTTTTGGCAAAAAATGGGCGTTTAACACGCCTCTGCCTACACCCTTGGGATACAACTATAAATGTACGTATGTAATATTGGAATATGTTTAAAACGATCAAGTAAAATGTTTTAACTTGTAGGTATGTTTTATGACAGCATTTTACCTTGAACTTTACGATTTAAAAACAATTAAGGCAAGCTAAAAACATTTTTATCTCTTAACCAACTTAATTTCAGTTTTATTGTTATTAATTTTTTAGTGCACCTAATCAGACATTTCCCCACCACCCAAAGGTAGACTGGAAGAAAATGCCTTTGGCATTAAGTCCGCCATTGTCCAATGCATTTTTATTTGTGCAAAAAGAATAAAATAAATAAATTGTAGAGGTGTTTTCAAAATAACTTCTATAGTCAACGGTGGGATACAAATTCAAAAGTTAAGAATAAACCGAACTTAGTTCTTAAAACCGACATTGCAGTGAATTCCGAACAATTTAAAACAGGCGAAGCTCACCTCCCCAGCGATATGCTATCCTGGTATCTACTCAAGGGGGTGGACGGGCGCCGGATGTGGGAAGAAGCAGACAGTGGGGAATATCCGGTCTGTCTTGTACACCGATAAGCGGATATGACGCTGACGACATTATTATACGGACCTACTTCTACTCACTTCGTTGGGTACAATATTGAAGGGTACATTTCATACAACGGTATTATGTTGAATCAAAAAATGAAACTGTTTTATTATAAATAACATGTATTACTACTGTGTTAAACGTCGGTCTTTAAGATAAGGAGGAGGAGGAGGGTTTCAGTTCGTCAGAATCTCTTTAATTTGTATGTTAGCTTAGTTGGATATTGGAGGTTTAGAATTCTCCAAATCTGTACAGCCGTCCTCGAATAAGTCGAGGATGGCTGTACCGATTTGGAGAACTCTTTTTTCTTTCAAAAATGCAATGACATATTCAAAAATGATCAATTTTTAGTTTATCATGTCAGCTTAGAATCTGAAGATCCATTCGCAAAATAAATTAATTTTCCGGCCATTCCCGTGAGTAAGACTTCTATAATAAATATAAAATTCTATTTAGCAAATTTTTATTAAACTCATTTTTAATACGCTTTTATTAGCTTGGTATGTAAGTATGTATGTATGTAACGGAAGCCTCAGACGTGATTTTGACCCACTTCAAAAAGTCGAATTGAATTGAAACTTCGCACACTTATCAAGTACCGATGTCAATACAATAATTTGATAAATTTGGCCGATCATCCTGATCAGGATTTTCAGGATTAACGGC